TCAAAAGTGAGGTATAGACACTTCCAGAAATCAGAAGGAGCCTTTGGCACCCACATGCACTGGAAGGTAGATGGCAGCTGGTGGAACCCAGCTCTCCAAGGGGTGGGCCCAGTCTTTACACCTGGATGAGAAGCAGAAGTCTGTAAGGAAAGAAACAGAAATTGGCCCTAAGCCCACCCTTCAGCGGCAAAGGTCTGTGCAAACTCCGAGTCAGCTGCCCTGGATGAAAATCCTAGCTCTTAGTCGCTATGTGCCATCTTTGACGGAGTTACTTAAACCCTTCTATGCTTCAGTTTCTTCATCTGTAAAATGACGATAGGGTTCATAAGACTGTGTGAAGTTTATCGAGATAGAGTGTATAAAGTGCCTGGTATATGGCGAGCATTGAAGTGAGTGCTCTGTGTAATTCGGTCTCCTGGGGTTTGGCTAAGCAATATATCAAGACTGTCTCATTTGTGGACTTTCATGGTGGTCCAGTGGTTGGTAATCCACTTGCCAACACAGGGACACAGTTTCGATCCCTGGTCCGGGAAGATTCCATATGCCTTGGGGCCCGTGTGCCGCAACTACTGAAGCCATGCCCTAGAGCCTGTGATCTGCAACAAGAGAAGCCACTGCAATGAGAAGCCCACGCACAGCAACTAGAGAGTAGTCTCTGCTGGCAACAACTAGAGAAAAGCGTGCATGCAGGAATGAAGACCCAGCACAGCCAAAAATAAATAAAATGAAATGCCTTGTTTGCTCACACATTCCCCAATCCTGGCATGATAGTTGGCACAGAGCAGACACTCAGTAAAATTTTTTTGAATGAGTAAGTGAGGGCATTTGCCTAAGTAATACTTCAACCTTTTGAAGAACTTTTGTCTCTTAAATTGCATAAATAATAAATTACCATTACTGACAATTTATTATTGTCAGAAAGTGAGGGCATGTATTTAGTTTTTCACTGTTATTGAGCATTTAGGTTATTTCCTATTTCTCTTGTCATACCTTACACAGTGCTGTGTGCATCCTTCAAGGACCACATATGCAGTCCAGCTTCCCTGGTCCCCACTGCTCCCTACAGTCTCCATTGCTGAGGTCATGGACTGCTGCTACTTTCATCATAGGTGTGTTGTGCTTTTTGTTAAATAAATGTTGCTCTGCATCGACTCTGTCAAAAATGGTAACATAAAAGGATGCAGAAAGTTGTCCCTTCCTAGAAATTTGGGAGTTAAGCAAGCTCCTCAATGAAGCTGATGAGTACCTTGCATGCAGAGTATGCAACTGTGCAAAGTGTTCTTGTCCTGTACCCACTCGCCTTGCTTGAAGGCATATCACCCTTCTTTATATGCAGGATTTGAGCAAGCATGCTTCGTCTAGTCCGTGTGGGAGCACACCTGTAGAACCAATAGCTGGTTGAAGAAGCAGAATGTGTCCAGCCTTCAGAAGCCAGTGCTGTGCACCCTCAGGGATTAATATCATAGACTAGTCTTACCTCTTTGAACTTTATGGAAGTGGAAACATACCGTGTGCATTCTTTTGTGTAAATGTGTTTTGGAGATTCGTCCATATTGTTGTTGTAGTTTGTCCGTTTTCATTGCTGTGTAATATTCTATGGTATGGCTCTATGGGAGCTATTCATTTTACTCCGGATAAACACTTTGAATTTTGTTTCTATTTTTGACCTATTACAAGTGATGTCTTTACGGAATATTTTTATGTCGTTTGCTCATCACATGGATACTTTCTAATAGTTGTATTTCTAGGAATGTAATTGAGACTGTTCTGCTTTAAAAGATTTTGCCAGATGGTTTTCCAAAGTGCTTAAGTGTCTTTAAAGTTGTTTTTTTTTTTTCTCCCCACACTGCACAGCTTGTAGGATCTCAGTTCCTTAACTAGGGATTGAGCTCAGAATCCTAACTACTGGATTGTGAGGGAACTGTCTGTTAGAAGTCTTTTAACACTGGACATTCACTTAGTTTTGAGTGTTCTTGGTGTGCTTGTTTCACGGATAAGAAAACTGAGGCTCAGAGAGGTGCGTTAATTTATCTTAGGTCACACAGCTGGTCTAGGTTGAAGCTGAACCCAGAGACTTCACTCTTCAACACCACACGATACTGTTTCTCATGGAGTTCCACACTAAACAGTGTAGTGTCTGGGACACAGGAGGAGCTTAGTGAGTGTTTGTTGAATAAATGGGTCAATGAAAGAATGAATCCCCCAAAGAAAGGGCTGAGGGGTCCTATTAATCTACTTTTCAGGAGAGTGGTTGATTTTTAGGACATGACAATTTAGAGGCCCTGAAGTGCTACCATTGCTTCTGCTTCAAACTTTTGAAGAACTTTTGTCTCTTAAATTGCATAAATAATAAATTGTCATTACTGAAGAATTAGAAAAATTGCTAAGTAAAAAAAATTCCTTTCAAGCTTCACCACCCAGATATAGCTACTGTGAACATATGACTAGTTATTTCCACGTGCTGTTGTTGTTTAGTCCCTCAGTTGTGTCTGACTCCATGGACTATAGCCTATCAGGCTCCTCTGCCCATGGAATTCTCCAGGCAAGATTACTGGAGTGGGTTCATATTTCCTTCTCCAGGGAATCTTCCTGACCCAGGGATCAAACCCAGGTCTCCTGCATTGCAGGCAGGCTCTTTACCCTCTGAGCCACCAGGGAAACCCCTGATTCAGGGGGTGCAGCCTCAGGATGACTTTTTCCCCTAGGGCACTCTGACATCCTCTGATCTCTCTGCTAAGTTATCTGCTTCTGCTGGTGTCATATCTAACTCTTAGCCTAATTACGAGATAGGCTGCTTTGTTTTCAGTAATGTTCTGGGGGCTAATTGCTCCACAAACTCCTCTAGGCCCAGCTCCTGAGGAGTGCTTGGCTTCCCCAGAGCTCAGATCCTGCGACATGTGTGGTTTTATCAGCTCCAACTCCTGCTGTTCAGAGGGCTTCTCCTGCAGTAGCTTCCCTTTCAGGCCCCTTGGGTGGTTTCATTGCAGAGTGCCTTCTGCCAGACACTTCCCTGTGAACAAAGGCCTTTCCCTGGCACCCAGGAGGATAGAGTTCCAGCAAGATTTTTGGGTGAGGGTTGGGGTAGATGCCAGCCAGTCCTGCTGGTATAGCAGCAGAGCAACTATTAGCCAATTCAACAAGGCCCTCTTGTTAGCAATTTCTGGACCTCAAGCCAAAGCGGCAAGAGGTGGGTTTTTCATTGGGTGTGCTATCTCAGCCCTGGGGTAAGAGTTGTTCCTTATACCTGCAATTATTTTGAGCTTTCTTTACTTCTTGCCCATCAACCTCGTATGACTCCTATACCGTGTTATGGTTCATGCGCATGCGTGCTAATTCATCTCAGTCGTGTCTGACTCTTTGCGACCCGCTGGACTGCAGGCCCCTGGGCTCCTCTGTACACGGGATTCTTCAGGCAAGTAGTGGAGTGGGTTGCGATTTCCTTCTCCAGGGGAATCTTCCCAACCCAGGGATCGAACCTGCCAGGCGGTCTGCAGGATACTGCAGTGTGAGTACCTAGAACTAGGAAGCAGAGTCCTTCTCTCCTGAGATGTCTCACAGTACTCTTTCTTGACAATGCTTTGCTGCCAATGGACAAAGGAAAGATGTTGAAACGTCCAGCCCATTTTCAAAGAGCAGGCAAAAATTGTGAGTTTGGAGCTAAGAGGCAATGCACCGACAATTGGCAAAAACTCAAATGTAATTTAGCAGCAGAAAAGGTAAAAAATTGTGGTATATTCATGCAATGGAATGCTATACCAGAATGAGAATGAATGAACTGATACATACAGCACAAAGATTACACACAACACAGTGTTCAAAGAAAGAAGCTGGATATAAAGGAACACTGCATAATTCCATTTATACAAAATTCAGAAACCAGACAAATGAGTCTTGGCTGTTAAAGAAGGATCGTAGTTACCTCTGTTGGGTGTAGTAACTGGGGGAGGGGGCATGGTGATGGGGAGAAGAGGCTCTTTATCCCGGTTTGGGTGCTGGTTACCTGGGTGTGTTAGTCTTGTAAGAATTCCTCAAGCTGATCCTTATGAATGAAGCACATTTTTGTATGCCTATGTATGCATATATTTATTTATTATAGCTCAGCAAAATTGACTTGACAAATGAGAGGATGTTTACACACCCATGCTTACTGCAGCATTATTTGCAATTCCTCAGTTAGGTTCTCTAATTACCCTTTCTTACAGAAGAAGGGGTTTCTCTGTTAGCTCAGATGGTAAAAGATCTGCCTGTAATGCAGGAGACCAGGGTTCAATATCTGGGTCAGGAAGTTTCTCTGGAGGAGGGCATGGCAAACCACTCCAGTATTCTTGCCCGGAGAATCCCCATGGACAGAGGAGCCTGGAGGGCTATAGTCTATAGGGTCACACAGAGTTAGACATGACTGAAGTGACATGCGTGCATGCACAGGAAAGGAAACCGACATGCAGAGAATGGACATAACTGATCTAAGTCTACAGAGCCAATAATTGGAAAAGTCAGGATTCAACCCAGGAGGGCTGGCCTCTGAGTGGGTCCTTTTACCTTTGGGCTGTGTTGCTTCTCCTAAGGTAAACTGGAACATCAAAGTGGGGCCAGGACAACCAACTGGTGTACGATGCATTTTGCCCACCCTGACCAGATGCCCATGAGGAAGACTGGCCACGTGTGTCCTGTTTTATAGTGAAAAGATCAGGCCACAGCCGCCTATGCAGCCTGTAGGAGACCCCTCCCTTGGGACCCAGGTGCTGGTGCTGTTTGAGCCTGATCTTTACTGAGAATTTGGGAAGCGCCTCTCCTAATACTACTGCCCCGATAGGCGGAATTGGTTTTCTTGGTCCCTGTATTCCCTGAGGAAGTGAGTCACTCTGGCTCCCATTGGTCATGCCGTGACTGGCTCAAGTCACAAGTCAAAGTTAATCCAAGAGTGGGATGGAGGACAAGCCCATATGACTGGCTCAGGTCCTGCCAAGCACCAGTCCCAAGCTCCTCACAACCTTGGGAACATGGTTGTCCTATGGCTGGTGCTTCCAGCCGCACTAGGCTCCTTTCTCCTGGGGGTCTTTGTCTGGGCTGTCTTTGAGCACTTCCTCACCACTGATGTCCCCTCTGCTCTACGACATCCTGCCAAGTTCCAATTTCTGCACTGCATATTTGTCTACGCGGTCACTTTGGTGAGTTGGCACTCAGTCCCCTCATGGATTGGAGTGAGCTTTCTCTCTCTCTTTCTGTTCCTCTCTCTAGGTCCCTTGGAGGGATAGGAGGGCCTGTCCTTCTTTCATTTGCCTTCCCTCTCTGTCTTCAGACTCTCCCTAGAAAGACAGACTTTGCTGCACAGTGAGCTCTCCAAGTCTGCAGGTGCTGCATCTGTGGATGGGGGGTCAACTATAAGAGATTGAGCATCTGAAGATGTTGGTATCATGGGGGTCCTGGAACCAATCCTTCATGGACACTGAAGGACAGATGGACGATAGTCCTCTCTTTTGTATGTGCTATTCTGTTTCTCTCCCTCTTCCCTTCCCATCCTTCCTCTCACCCACCCTCCCTCTTTTTCCTTCCTCCAGCAGCATTTACTGAATGCCAATCAGCAGGCTCGTTTCTGAGGCTTCCCAAACTATCCCAGTCCCAGCCCCTCCCCTGAAATGGCTCGGAGCCTGACAGAATGAACTTGCTTCAGCTTTAGCATCTTCCACTTCACAGCACACAGGTGTCCCCCACCCCCAGCAAAGATTGCAAGCACCTGGAAGGCAGGGCCCACCTTATCCATCCCAGGACCTGGTGCCTAGCACATGCTTAGTTACTATTTGCTGATCAGTCACCAGGGAATTCACCCAATATTTCAGAGTGGCCACCCCAGCTGGGCTCACTCTGAGCAGGGGTTTGAGATTTGGGATGAAATGGCACATGCCTAGAGCAGCAGATTTGGGAATAGCTTGGCATCTAGTAAGAGGCAGGACGGAGAAGGCAATGGCACCCCCTCCAGTACTCTTGCCTGGAAAATCCCATGGACGGAGGAGCCTGGTAGGCTGCAGTCCATGGGGTCGCTAAGAGTCAGACAAAACTGAGCGACTTCACTTTCACTTTTCCTTTCATGCTTTGGAGAAGGAAATGGCAACCCACTCCAATGTTCTTGCCTGGAGAATCCCAGGGACGGGGAAGCCTGGTGGGCTGCCGTCTATGGGGTCGCACAGAGTTGGACATGACTGAAGCTATTTAGCAGCAGCATCAGCAGCAGCAGCAAGAGGCAGGGAACTTGATTTAATTATGATGTCCCAACCATGGGTGGAGATCAAACAGTTCAGACTGATGACCTGCGGGGAGAACAACTGTTGAAGGAAGTGAGGAGGCCATGCTCAGCTCTGAGAGCTACTCCCTGGCTATGTGATTTTGGGCAATTTACTTCACCCCTCTGTGCCTTAGTTTCATTATCGGTGAAGGGGGAATAATTGTGTTTCTTCCATCAGGTTGGTAAGAAGATTAAGATACCAGGTGACAAAGATTTGGTGATATTTGGCAAATAATGGGCTTCCCAGGTGGCCCGATGGTAAAGAATCTGCCTGCCAACCCAGGAGATGTGGGTTTGATCCCTGGGTGGAGAAGGTCCCCTGGAGTAGGAAATGGCAACCCACTCCGGTATTCTTGCCCGGGAAATTCTCTGGACAGAGGATCCTAGCGGGCTACAGTCCATGGGATTGCAAGAGGTCAGACGTGACTGAGCACTGAGCACATTTGGTTAATAAGTAAAGAGTGTTTCTTGTGTTGTTGGACTGTTTCACCAAGGATACAGATGACTTTCAGAGAAATGAACAAGTCTAGTTTATAATTAGGTGAACGCTACTGTCCCAAGGAGACAGGCTGAGGAAGTGGTATGCACATCTCTCTTATTAATCCTGGTCATGCACTTTGCTGGAGGTCAGGTCGTCTCAAGCCAGCAGCTGCAATCTGTATGGAATTTCAGGCTAGTCTGAGGCCCTTGGACTGAAAATGATGTCCAAGTGGCCCAGAAAACCTGCGATCTTTCCAACCTTTGGTGATTCTCCTCAGGCGCAGCCCACAAGCCAAGCATCTTGTGATGACAGCTGCTCCTGGGAGGCTCTGAGATGGGTCTGAGCTTGGCTGTGGAGGGTGAATTCAGCTTGTGAAGTTCCATCCTGGTCCCCCTAGCCATGAGCCCTCCTAGAACAGACTGCTCATCATAGGTGAGAATGATGAGCACGGCAATATCCAAGTGGTTCATTTGATTCCAGAAGACAGATAGATACAGAAGTCACATGAATATTAAGGAGAAGGAGGCAAAAACCTAAAAGACTCTACAGCCCAGAAATCAGGTGCCTAGTTTTGTAGTCAGACAACTTTGGGTCTGAGCACTGAATCTCCACTTGCTAGTTTTGTGGACTAATGTCTTTGAGGCTCTATTTTCTTCTCTAAAGTGGTGAGGATAGCTGGAAATGCTTTTTATAGGGGTGAGGTGGGGAGTGAGTGAGAAATGCATTTAAGGTGCAGGATAGAGTGCTGGGTGCTTAGAAAGGGCTCCGTAAAAATAGCTTATTAGTAGTATATATATAAGATCTTTGAAGGCAAAGACACAGCATTTGCTAAAATCGTTATCAATTTGAAGGCTGTTATGAATGACTTCATAATATGAATGGAGAAGGAAATGGCAACCCACTCCAGAATTCTTACCTGGAAAATCCATGGATGAATTTTCCATGGTTGGAGGAGCCTGGTGGGCTACAGTCCATGGGGTCGAAAAGAGTCAGACATCTGCTGCTTGGGCTTCACATTGTGGTGTCTTCTCTTGCTGTGGAGCATGGGCCCCAGGGCTCTCAGGCTTCAGTAGCTGCAGTGTGCAGTCTTAGTTGCCCTGAGGCATGAGGAATCTTCATGGACCAGGGATTGATCCTGTGTCTCCTGCATTGGCAGGTGGATTTCTATCTACCACACTACCAGGGAAGTCCTGATACATTCTTACAAATAATACTAGAAATAATATTAGATGGGCCAAATATTTGTTTGATTTTTCCAGACAATGTACAAAAATAATATACAATAATTACAGTATTTATATATACATATAATATATATTATATATATTATATAATTTTTATAATTATATAATATAAATTTATATAAATTATATATATTATACATCATATATTATTATTATATATTATTAGATACATTAGATATATATTATGTATACAATACAATATGTATACTATATATACTATATAATAATATCTAATATATCTAATAATAATAATAATATGTAATGTATAATAATATATAGCAATATATAATATAATACAATATGTTGTATATAATATATAATCATAATATATTAATATTATATAACAATATAATATAATTAATAATATATAATTATCAATTATGTATTGCATTATTATATTATATATTATATACAACATATTGTATTATATTATATATTGCTATATATTATTATACATTACATATTATTATTATTATTAGATATATTAGATATTATTATATAGTATATATAGTATACATATTGTATTGTATACATAATATATATCTAATGTATCTAATAATATATAATAATAATANATTATAAATTTGTATTTTTAAGTGTATATTGTATTTGTTAATTTGTAAATGTGTATATATATATAACTAAAAAATTTATAAATAAAGTTATAAATTATATAACATAATTATATTATAACTATAATTGTATATGTTATATTATATATAATAATATAAATATAATAATATATCTAATATATATTAATATATAATATACATATAATATAATAACATGCAAACAATATAATATAAATATAGGATATGTATGCACTTATATATTTATATAAATATAAATCATATAAACATTATATATTTATATAAATATAAAGCCTAATATTAAATATTATATATTCATAATACTACAAATAATAATAGACAGTAATCAATCTTCCTAATTGCCTCTGTCCTAAACGGCTAGCTCTGGCAAATGTGAACTCATTGTTGGAGAAAACAATTGAAACCAGACTTTCCTGGTAGCCCAGTGGGCTAAGTATCCACCTTATAATGCAGGGGACCTGGTTTTATCCCTGGCAGGATGATCCCACAGCCACAGAGCAACTAAGCCCGTGTGCCACAACTACTGAGCCTGCGCTCAGAGCCCATGCCGCACCACAGGAGGCGTCAGCACAAGGAGAAGTCCGCACAGCAACTAGAGAGTAGCCCCTGCTCTCTGCAGCCAGAGAAAGTCCGTGCACAGCAACGAAGACCCAGCACAGCCAAATAAATATTTAAAAAACCCAACAAAAACAATTTAACTTCCTGGCCGTATCTAGTGACCTTTCAGAATGTGGTGCTAAGAGATGTTTATCACCACCTTGCATTGTTCAAAAGTCCTGAACCATTTACACTTCAAGATGTGGAATGGGTTCCTCAGATGTGGGCCAAGTGGTGGGGAAGGAGGCCCTCCTCACAGCCCTGGTAACCTTGCTCTCCTCCAACTCAAGCAGAAAAGTAGTGGTTTTGATGGGAGTTCCCTTTTGAGAAACCTAACCCTTGGCAGTGGGGTAGCTGGCGTGGGGGTGGGGATGTCTCCATGGAGGGAATGTACTGGGGCATCCCACAGACCTGGAGCAAGGAGGTCACACCAGTGGGTGTGACCTCACACTTGCCAGAACCCACCAGTGACGCACTCCCCATGGGTGGTCACATCTGATTCCCAAGCTTCATCCTTGGCGACTGTAGACCTGATTCTTCAATTTTACAAACGAGGAACACTGAAGCTCAGAGAAGGGAACGCTTGAGGTCTCTCAGTGAGATAGCAGTAGGTAGAGCTAAGTCTTGAATTCAAATCTGCTTGATTCCAGAGGCCACACTGTTTCTAGTTTAGTGGTTGAGAACATAACATTCTGTATCTTACTCGTTGATGGGCAAGGCACTTGACCTTGGTATGCCTCACTTGCCCTATCTGCAAAATGGAGCTGATAATTGTGCTTGACTTAGAAGGGTTGCTGAACAGTTAGAGCCAGTTAATAACTTAAATCCCTTGGACCAGGATTGGCATGTTGTAGGTAACTGGTAAGTGTCAGCTGTTCTTACTGTGTTCACTATTATCATCCTGTTCTGTTTTCTTCCTGACACAGACACGTATTCCATGTGAGGTCCACAGAAGAGATGATGCGACATGGTTGAAATGCATTTATTACTTGTGACACAATACCATGTAACTACAGTAACTACATCTCATTAAATATTTCACTATTTGTTTGCTTATAACCAGAGTGACCATATTAGTTTAAAAACAATGGACTTCTTTTCACATTTGGCATATAGATGGCCCTTGTACCATTGATCCTGCCTCCTGAGCCCATGGGCTTCCCTGATAGGTCAGTTGGTAAAGAATCCGCCTGCAATGCAGGAGATCCCAGTTTGATTCCTGGGTTGGGAAGATCTGCTATAGAAGGAATAGACTACCCACTCCAGTATTCTTGGGCTTTCGTTGTGGCTTGGCTGGTAAAGAATCTGTCTGCAATGAGGGAGATCTGGGTTCGAACCCTAGGTTGGGAAGATCCCCTGGAGAAAGGAAAGGCTACTTACTCCAGTATTCTGGCCTGGAGAATTCAATGGACTGTATAGCCCATGGAGTCTCAAAGAGTCAAACACAACTGAGCGACTTTCACTTCTTTCCTGAACCCATGGCAGACATCCTTAATTGGTCTTATTACTTTTTTCTGTTGAACACAAATGTGGCTTAAGCATCTGTCCTAACCCAGGGAGGCAATGATGGTGTTAACCCAGGTGTTAACCTGTCTTTGCCATCTCAAGCTGGGGGCCAAAGACAGCAAGGTTGCCAGTCATCTTGCCTTGGACATTGGCTTTGATGAGCTCAGTGCCCAACCACTCAGCCCAAATGTGGGCAAGCTCTTTGGCAAATTCATACCATTGTTCAACCGAGAGCTTTTGGGAGGAAATTCTGCAAGCCCGACCCTTTTTCTGGACACACTCTCCAGAGCCTGTCGCTTCCTGATGAGCCCTGGGGCCATGCTTGGAGGCACATGAGAAACTGAAAGAACATTCTAGCAGTTACAAGGAGCAGGAGTCATCTATAATTCAGAGACCCTAACCTCCCTAATCTCTCCCTCTCTTTCTCTTACCTCTAGCAGGGTAATATATTTGAGAAGATAGGGGTTTGCTCCCTGCCCAGATTTCTCCAGTCTTTGCAGAACAGCGTGAGAATCAAGGAGGACCCTGCGCTTGTGGTAACCAACCTGCATTTTGGGACCATACCGGTCAGGCTGTTCCAGCCCAAGGCAGCCTCCCCCAACCCCCGGCGAGGCATCATTTTCTTTCACGGAGGAGGTGCCTTAATGGGGAGCCTGGGTAAGATCCTCCACGGTGGCTTTATAAAGGAAGAGCCTCATCCACACACACAGCTCTGCCCCCCCACCCCTCCCCTGGTAACCTTGTTGGAGTTTCTCCAAGAAATCACAAATGGGTTGCCATTTCCTTCTCCAGAAAGAAATCGGCAGTTGGAGATTTTTATTGGAGTCCAGACTATGGACTTTGGGCTCAAGTCAGCAGACGGTGTGGAAATGTTCTTTTTTATACTGTGATAGTCTAGGTCAAGGAGAGTGTGGTGAAGTGGCTGGGGAGGTGAGGGGGGTGGGATGGCATTTATGGCCCTGCAGTAGTGACTCTGCCCCCTCCCCCTGCTCACCACTCACAGCCATTGCTAGTCCTGTCTGTTCTTCCCCCACAATATTTCTCAAATGCACACGTTTCTCGCAGGCTCTGCAAGATCATTGTGATCTTTCTCTTGCCACATCCCTTTACTCCCACATCTCAGCAACTGCTGTCCCCGTCACTCCTGGCCCTTCACGGTCTCATCCTCACCCAGTAGCCAGAAGGAGCTCATAAAAGTACAAGTTGGAACTTGTCTGTCTTGCACTGAAACCCTTCCTGTGGCTTTCTAGTTTTTTTTTTTTTTTTTAAATAATGTTATTTATTTTTGGCTGTGCTGAGTCTTCTTTGGTGCTCGGGCTTTTCTCTAGCTTTGGTGAGTAGGGGCTACTCTCTAGTTGTGGTGCGTGGGCTTATTGCAGTGGCTTCTTGTTACGGCTCTCTGGCTCTCGAGCACAGGCTCAATGCCTGTGGCACACAGGATTCGTTGCTCAACGACATGCAGGATCTTCCCGGACCAGGGATCGAACCCATATCTCCTGCATTGGCAGGTGGATTCTTTACCACTAAGCCACCAGGGAAGCCCTAGGGTCTTTTCAAAAAATAAATTGATTTATCATTTTTGTCTGTGCTAGGTCTCCATTGCTGTGTGCGGGGCTTTCTCTAGTTGCAGCAAGCGGGGGCCACTCTGCTGCAGTGTGCAGGCTTCTTACTGAGGTGGCTCCTCTTGTTTCAGAGCACAGACTCTAGGGCACTTGGGCCTCAGTAGTTGTGGCACATGGGCTTAGTTGCCCCGTGGCATGTGGGATGTTGGTTCCCCGACCAGGGCCTGAAGCCACATCCCTGCATTGGAAGGCAGATTCTTACCACTGGACCACTAGGCAAGACCCCTCCAGGGTCTTTAGATGAAACCTGAACTCCCCCCAGAAGCTGGTGCTGGCCCTTCAGACCTCTCCTGCCTGCCCACCTGGGCCTCCTGCCTGCCCAGAGTGATCACTGCGGTAGCCACGCTGCCTATGCTGCTGACACTCCAGGCTCCTTCTCTCTGAATCACCCGCACTTGCTGTTCCCCGGCCTCCAGAGTTGTTGCTCCACACGCCCTCACTTTGCAGGACTGCTGACTCCCTCTTCATTCTTCCAGTTCGATCTCAAAGGTCCCTCCCCAGAGTGGCCTCCTGGACATCTTCTCTGAAAAACTCTCCCTGCCCACTCTAGTGCCCTGCCCTATGCCCAGTGTCCATCCATCCTTGACATCATCCTTTAACATTTTCTTCATGGCAGTTGTCACAATCTGAATGAATCTCCTTCCTCCAGGTGTTTCCTTATTTACTCTCTGCATTCCCCGACTAAGAATGGGAAGTCTGAGAGTGCAAGAAAGACTTTTGTTTGCTTGTTGCAGGACCCCAGGGCCAGACCCATGGTTTTATTTTTTGAATGAATGTATAAGCATGAGATCTCTTTAAGAAAATTGGATACAGTAAGGGAACATTTCATGCAAGGATGGGCACAATAAAGGATAGAAATGATAAGGGCCTAACAGAAGCAGAAGAGATTAAGAAGAAGTGGTTAGAATACAAAGAAGAAGTATATAGAAAAGGTCTTAATGACCTGGATAGCCATGGTGGTATGGTCACTCACCTGGAGCCAAATATCCTGGAGTATGAAGTCAAGTGGGCCCTACAGAGTATTACTACAAACAAAGCTAGTGGAGATGATGGGAAATTCTAGCTGAGTTATTTAAAATTCTAAAAGATGATGCTGTTAAAGTGTTGCATGCAAATTTGGATAATTCAGCAGTGGCCACAGGACTGGAAAATGTCAGTTTTCATTCCAATCCCGAAGAAGGGCCATGCCAAAGAATGTTCAAACTACTAGACAATTGTGCTCATTTCACATGCTAGCAAGCTATTGCTCAAAATCCTCCAAGCTAGGCTTCGATAGTATGTGAACCAAGAACTTTCAGATGTACAAGCTGTGTTTAAAAAAGGCAGAGTAACCAGAGATCAAACTGCCAACATCCCTTGGATCATAGAAAAAGCAAGAGAATTCCAGAAAGACATCTACTTCTGCTTCATTGACTACACTAAAGCCTTTGTGTGGATCACAACAAACTGTGGAAAATTCTTAAAAAGATGGGAATACCAGACCACCTTACCTGTCTCTTGAGAAACCTATATGTGGGTCAAGAAGAAACAGAACTGGACATGGAACAATGGACTTGTTCAAAATTGGGAAAGGAGTACATCAAGGCTATATATTGTCACCCTGCTTATTTTACTTTATGCAGAGTATATCTTGGAAAATGTCAGGCTGGATGAATCATAAGCTGGAATCAAGATTGCTGGTAGAAATATCAACAATCTCAGATACACAGATGATACCACTCTAATGGCAGAAAGTGAAGAGGAACTAAAGGGTTTCTTGATGGTAGTGAAAGAAAAGAAGGAAAAAGCTGGCTTAAAACTCAATGTTCAATAAACTAAGATCATGGCATCTGGTCCCATCATTTCATGGCAAGTAGAAGGGGAAGAATTGGAAGCAGTGACAGGTCTTATTTTCCTGGGCTCCAAAATCACTGCAGATGTTGACTGCAGCCATGAAAATAAAAGATGTTTGCTCCTTGGAAGGAAAGTTATGACAAACCTAGATAGTGTATTAAAAAGCAGCAATATCACTTTTCTGACAAGGGTCCATATAGTCAAAACTATGGCTTTTCCAGCCGTCATGCACTGGATGTGAGAGGTGGACCATAAGGAAGGCTGAGTGCTGAAGAACTGATGCTTTCAAATTCTCCAGGTGCTGGAGAAGAGTCTTGAGAATCCTTTGGACTGCAATGAGATCAAATCAGTTAATCCTGGAGGAAATCAGCCTTGAACACTCACTGGAAAGACTGATGCTGAAGCTGAAGCTCCAATATTTTGACCACTTGATGAGAAGAGCTGACTCACTGGAAAAGACCCTGATGCTGGGAGATTGAAGGCGAGAGAAGGGGGTGACAGAGGATGAGATGGTTATATAGCATCACCAGCTCAGTGGATATGAATTTGAGCAAACTCGGGGAGATAGTGGAGGACAGAAGGGCCTGGTGTATGACAGTCCTTGGGGGTCCCAAAATGTCAAACACAGCTTAGGGACTGAACAACAACAATGAGCACATGAATACATAGATGGATGGATGGGTGAATAACTGGGTAAAGGGATATAAACTAACCAACACTCGGGAGGATGGAGAGATGGTCACACAGGAGAAAACTTGCCCTTGTGAAGAGCTGAGCGGTCCCATTACATGTTCCCTGAGATTAGGCTGTACTGCCACCTGGTGGTAGAATATAATATCTGAACTTGCTGCCTGGATGCTCTCCCCTTCTCTGAAGTTAACTGTATTTACTTTGTGGGACTTCCCTGGTGGCTCAGTGGTAAGGAATCTGCCTGCAATGCAGGAGACACTGGAGATGAGGATTCAGTCCCCGGGTTAGGAAGATCCCCTGAAGGGAACGCAACCTGGCAACCAACGCCAGTGTCCTTGCCCGGAGAATTCCCTGGGCAGAGAAGCCTGGCGGGCTGTAGTCTCTGGTGAGCACACACGCACACATCTTCGTCCTGGCCCTCTTGTCCACGATCACTCCTCCCTTTCAGAGGCCTCTGGGAGCACTCCATTTTTTGTCTGCAACTGTTCCTCTTCCTCTGTGGAGGAATGACATTACTTCCAACAGTAACACCAGGACTCACTCAGCAAATATTTTTTTAAGGACCTACTACGTGTCAGACCCTCTTTGAGGCCCAGGGAACATTGTGGAGCACAAGAAAGGTCCTCACAGAGCTTACCCAAACAATGGGGCTGAGCAGTGAAAGAAAAACAAGCGTATGTGTGCTCAGTCGTGTCCGACTCTTTGTGACCCCATGGGCTGTAGCCCGCTAGGCTCCTCTGTCCATGGGATTCTCCAGGCAAGAATACTGGAGTGGGTTGCTATTTCCTCCTCCTGGGGATCTTTCCCACCCAAGGATCGGACCCTTGTCTCCTGCATTGGCAGGCGGATTCTTTACCGCTGAGACACCTGGGAAGCCCATACATACATACATACATATATATAATTATTAATTATTATTCACATTCCAGAGCAGATGTGCCCACCTTCCCTTATCTTGGCTTTGTCGATTTCAAAGCACCAAGCCTTCCAACTCCAAGGTTTCCCCTCCCATCAAAGAAAACATTGTGGCTGGCCCCAAGGCATACCTGCTCCCTGACATTCAAGAGACTTGGGTGGATTCAGGTGTCTGATTTTAAGCTTTTTCTGTTGTCCAGGCAGAGGTTGCCAGAGTCACTACAAGGGAAGCAAGAACAGGAAGAGAGGGAGCTGTCACACCTAGCGCCAGCATTGCTTGCAGCTCTCCCTGTGAGCTGGGGGGCAGCGCTGGGCCCCGTGGGCACCAGGCCTTGTACAGGCTACTCACAGGCAGCTGCTGCTGTGCGGGTTTTTGTCTTGCAGACCTATACCACAGCCTGCGTGGTTCTCTAGTCTGGGAGACTGACTCTGTGTTGCTGGCGGTTGGGTGAGTTGCGGGAAAAAGTTAGTGGGTGGTACCTGGTGGCAGAAGGTAGAGGTGAGGCCCCAGATGATTTGCTGAACAGAGGTCCTAACCCTGGGGAGACATTCTTGCACATGCATCCGTGGAGACCGGCACGTCTCCATGTGGAGATGTAGCATTCAAAACAGCCTAAACTGGAAGCGACCCAAATGCCCATCCACGGGGAGAACACGAATCAACTGTGGCGCTGTTGGTGTTACAGTGCACAGCCATTAAGGTGTTATGGGATGTGGTGTAGCTGTTCAAATAAGGGAACCAGAAGGCACACCCATAATGTGGATGAATCTTGGCAGTATAAAATTTAGTGGGAACATTTTCAAAAAATTATGTAAAGCAAGATACTCTGTCTACAGAATGAAAAACAATTAAAATCAGAGCAATACTTTTAAGGAATATGCATAGGCACAATGAAATTATGTAGAAAGGAAAGAAAAAGAATGGTGGTTATATGATTCAAGGTAACCATTCCCTCAAATGGGGGAGGCAGTGAGATGGGATGGTGGTGGGGGTATTATGGGGTTGGCTGAAGATTCTGAAGGTTCTGGTTAATATCCTGGCTGTTCTTTGGGGCAATGATGCTTCTCGCATTGTTAAATAACTAACGAACGTATGAACTAACTAGTTAGCTAATTAACTCCCAGCCATGAAGGGACTAATGTTGGGAGCGTCTCAAGGAAGCCATAACTCTGGGCACCTGGGGTTCTTTGAAAATAGGAGAGGGCTTTTGAGTGAATGGAAGGGGCTGTGGGGACCACTCACCAGAATTCTGGTTCTTAATCCAACAGATCACAAGTCACAGGGAAACAGTTTAGAGAATGCAAGTGAGAGAATCTAAAAACTACCCCTTTAGATTCAACCTCTAAAAAAAGCCCCCTCAAAAAAAGCAACTTCCTCAGCATCTCTGGTTTTCTTGATGAGATGGAGGAAGATAGCATGTTTCCAGTCCTCATCATTGTACCTCCCAACCAGCTGAGCCTCATGCCTGACATTCCACCATTAGAGTTTCCACCAGACTCTACATCTCTGAGGTCTTAGTGATAATAAAAACATCCCTTGAACACATAAAGGTGTTAATAAGCACCTCCGTTAATACCTTGTAGGAAATTTCTGAGGATATTGTTATTCTTGGGCTTCCCAGGTGGCACTAGTGCTAAAGAATCTGCCTGCCAACGCAGTTCAGCCCAGTTCAGTTCAGTTGAGTCCCTCAGTTGTGTCCCACTCTTTGCAACTCCATGGATTGCAACACACCAGGCTTCCCTGTCCATCACCAACTCCCGGAGTTTACTCAAACTCATGTTCATCGAGTTGGTGATGCCATCCAAACATCTCATCCTCTGTTGTCCCCTTCTCCTCCCACTTTCAGTCTTTCCCAGCATCAGGGTCTTTTCAAATGAGTCAGTTCTTTGCATCAGGTGGACAAAGTATTGGAGTTTCAGCTTCAGCATTAGTCCTTCCAATGAATATTCAGGACTGATTTCCTTTAGGATGGACTGGTTGGATCTCCTTGCAGTCCAAGGGACTCTCAAGAGTCTTCTCCAAGACCACAGTTCAAAAGCATCAATTCTTTGGCACTCAGATTTCTTTATAGTTCAACTCTCATATCCATACATGACTACTGGAAAAAACCATAGCCTTGACTAGATGGACCTTTGTTGGTGAAGTAATGTCTTCGCTTTTTAATATGCTCTCTAGGTTAGTCATTGTTTTTCTTCCAAGGAGCAAGTGTCTTTTAATTTCATGGCTGCAGTTACCATCTGCAGTAATTTTGGAGCCCAAGAAAATAAAGTCTGTCATTATTCCCATTGTTTCCCCATCTATTTCCCATGAAGTGATGGAACCAGATGCCATGATCTTAGTTTTCTGAATGTTGAGTTTTAAGCCAACTTTTTCACTCTCCTCGTTCACTTTCATCAAGAGGCTTTTTAGTTCTTCACTTTCTGCCATAAGGGTGGTGTCATCTGCATATCTGAGGTTATTGATATAATCTCTGGATTGGGAAGATCCCCTGGAGGAGGAAATGGCAATCCACTCCAGTATTCTTGCCTGGGAAATCCCATGGCCAGAGGAGCCTGGAGGGCTACAGTCTATGTGTTGCAGAATTGGAAATGACTAAGCACACTATTGTACTGTATATTGTATTGTTATTCTAGACAGCTGAAAAGACTTGGCATAAAGGTTTTGATAGCTAGGCTGGTGGAGGAAGAAAGGCAAGCAAGGTTCTTCAGGTTGCCAGGGGCTGCAGGTAGATGGTGCCTGGGGGGAAAAGCCCTGAGAACACTAAGGGAGAAATGATCATGGTCTGGGTGCTCCCTGATTTTTCGTCAAGACATAATGGAATTTCTTAAGTAAGATCCTGGAAAATCTGTATTTGAAAGATCTGTCTTTCAACCATTTGGCTCTGCAGAGCTTTCATACCTGACGGTGGGTGGGCAAGAGAGAGTCCAAGAAAGTGTAGGCATCTCTGTTTCCTACTAGCAGGTCTGGGATTCTGCAAAAGAAAGCATATGCTAGTTCATGACATCAAGTTTGTATGTTTGACATTTGATGAGTTGCATTCACTTCTAGGGGCTTCCCTGGCGGCTCAGCGGTAAAGAATCCGCCTGCAGTACACGAGACCCAGGTTTGATCCCTGGGTTGGGAAGATCCCCTGGAGGAGAGCATGGCAATCCACTTCAGTACTCTTGCCTAGAGAATCCCATGGACAGAGAAGCCTGACAGGCTGCAGTCCATGGGGTCACATAGATTCAGACACTACTGAAATGACTAAGCAGCTGCAGCATTCACTTCTAGACATGGCAAAGTGGAAGCTGAAGCTTGCACTTGCTGCTTACAGGTGCTGGGGCCATCTCACCGTGAGGACTCCACAGAGGCACATGTGTTTTGCCCACATTTAAGTGGGAACCCATGCTGATAACATTGAATTATTGATCACGATATTGCTTATTGCGGAAATGTGGCAAAGTTATAAGCAATCAACCCATCCTACTCTTTCTTTTTTAAAAAAATATATTCATTTATTTGGCTGCACCAAATTCTAGTTGTGGCATGTGGAATCTATTTCCCTGACCAGGGATGGAACCTAGACTCCCTGAACTGGGAGTATGGAGTCTTAACCACTGGACCACGTGGGCAGTCCCCAAATTGTATTCTTAAAAATGATGCTTTAGGAAACCTTTTATAGGAAATAAAATTCAAGGTCAAATAGAAGGCAGTGGTTTTCAAACTGGGTTCCGTAGAGCAGTAGGGTTTTCCTCATTGTCTCAGAGGTGGGCCCAGAGGTCAAAGAAGAAGAATCAGGGATTCAGGTGTCTTATCTTTGGGCAAAACAGAACAACTGCATTTACCTATTTTATTTGGTGGAGCTCCAGGTATCATTTTAATAAAAAAATAATATTTTTTTGTTGTTGTTCTAAATAAGTTTGAAAGCCACTAGTCTAAGGTGTCATTTTTCCTTGTGGAATTCTCAATTTAATCTTACAAGTAAAATGTTTTTTTTTTTTTTTTTTGATGCTTTTAAGTGATAGGTTGCAAGAACTGAAAAGACAACTAGCAACAGCCTCAAATAGAAATTTAAGATAACAACCATATTTTAAATAAGCTTTCTAATCCAAGTTTAGCTAAGCTGTTAACTGGTTTAGCCAAGTTGTTTCAATTTTTAAAATGTATTCCTTTCTGTTATTCCAGTCTTGATTCATACATTAGTTAGCTTGTGTTAGACCCGGGTTCGATCCCTGGGTGAGGAAGATCCCCCGGAGAAGGAAATGGCAACCTACTCCAGTACTCTTGCCTGGAAAATTCCATGGATGAAGGAACCTTGTAGGCTACAGTCCATGGGGTTGCGAAGAGTCAGACACGACTGAGCGACTTCACTTTCACTTTACTATTTTTAGAAGTTCACCTGCTCTACCAGCTTGATTGAACTATAATGATGTGTGCATTCTGTCAATTTAAGGTGTTCAACATGTTGGTTTGATATACTTACATACTGCAATATGACTGCTACCATCATATCACATAATTAGCATTTCTTTTTATGGTGAGAACCTTTAAGATCTACTCTGTTAGCAACTTTCAATTATATAAAATATTGATGTTAACTATAGTCACTATCCTGTACGGTTAGATCCCCAGGACTTGTTAATCTTATAACTGAAAGTTTGTATCATTTGACCAGCATCTCATTTGCCTCACCACCCCGGAGTCCCTGGTAACCACTGCTCAATTCTCTGTCTCTCTGAGTTTTGGTTTCTTTAGATTGTATGTATAAGTGATATCATACAGTGTTTGTCTTTCTCTGTCTGACTTATTTCACTCAATGTAACATCCTGGTTTCATCCAAGTTGTTGCAAATGGCAGGATTTCCTTCTTTCTTACCACTAAACAATGTTTCAATTTATATGGAACATCTAGAAGTTCATTTTAAAGCTCCTTCTCTTTGTCCTTGAATTCCCCTGAGGAGACACACTTTGGGGGCTTAGACAAATCCCCAGGATGCTGATCATCAACCTCTGGCACCTGGGTCTGCCACAGCCCATTATGTCTGTTTTCTGACTGCCTACTTTCTCTACACCTTCACTGTGAGAACACTTCCCAAACCCCTTTTTTCCTTCCTGCAGCCCCAGAAAAAAAGGCAACTCTGAGTCATTGGTGGGAACAAACCTTGGTCCATTAGATTTTTCTTTTTAAAATAATTCTACCTGAAAGAAACTTGCCCTTGACTTTCCTTTTGGTTTCTCCTATCCTTTTCTTTCATGAGTGGCAGCAGCTTCATTGGCCTTTCTTGACACTGCTGGTCGTTTTGCTTCTGATGTGAATAGCTTTCTAAGTTACACGTTTTTTTCCTTGTTGTTCAAATCTCTTATTTTTAAATTTTTTTTTTAATTGGAGGAAAATTGCTTTACAGTGTTGTGTTGATTTCTGCCAGACAACAACCTGAATCAGTCATAGTTACATACAACCCCTCCGTCTTGAGCCCCCATCCCACGCCTCTAGGTCATCACGGAGTGCCAGGTGGGCTCTGGCACCGTGTAGCATAAGTTGCACATTCTTGTATGGAGCGTCTCCATCTGTGGAAAGTAGAGCATAGTTGTGGAATCAAGGATCCCTGCCCGTAAGTTAAGGAAAGGTTCTTCACATCCTCAAATGCAAAAAGTGGGGATAAGCACCCTTACCTCAGAGGGCCATTCTGAAGGTTTAATTAGAAACACCATTGCAAGGGGGAGTGGAAAGTAACATGGCTTCCCAGCGACCCCCGTTCACACAGCTGTGCTTCTGTTCCCCGCTTGCTCAGGTACCGCAAGCTTCCTGATCACCATCACTATACCCTTTCCTATGATTGCCTGAATGCCTCCATTCACTTCCCGAAGACCCTGGAAACATATGGGGTGGATTCCTCCCAGGTTGTGCTCTGTGGAGACAGCCCTGGGGCAGGAATAGTGGCCTTGATTTCCCAGACCTTGGTGGGCAGGTTAGATCTTCCTCAAATCCGGGCCCAGGTCCTGATTTATCCCCTCCTGCAACTCATCAATTTTCAGCTGCCATCCTTTCACCAGAACTCACGCATCCCATTCCTCACCCAGAAGTTAATGATAACTTCTGTGTTTATTTTTTATTTTTTCCATTTATTTTTATTAGTTGGAGGCTAATTACTTTCATCATTGCAGTGGTTTTTGTCATACATTGAAATGAATTAGCCATGGATTTACATGTATTCCCCATCCCGGTCCCCCCTCCCACAACTTCTGTGTTTAAATACCTGCTTATCGACTTCTCCTGGTGGGATGCCATCATGAGTGGGGCTTTTATTCCCCCCGAAGTCTGGAAGAAGTACCGGAAGTGGCTTAGCACTGACAACCTACCCAACAGGTTCAAGAAGACAGGCTGCCAACCTGTGTTTCCTGCCCCTTTTAATGAGGCTGCCTATCTAGAAAATAAACACTTGTTGGATGTGGAATATTCACCCCTTTTAAAGGATGATGAGATCATAGCCCAGCTTCCGGAGGCCTTCCTGGTGAGCTGTGAGAATGATATCCTCCATGATGATGCCTTGTTCTATAGGAAGCGCTTGGAGGACTGGGGGTCCCTGTGACGTGGTACCATGTGGAGGATGGCTTTCATGGATCACTGTTAGTTTTTGATAAGAAGTCATTCTCTTTCCCATGCTCCCTGAAAATTATGAATGTTGTAGTCTGTTACATAAAGAGCATACTGTAAGGTTGGGGGTCTGAGTAGGGCATAGCCAGTATAGACTCTGCTACAAGCTGAGTCCTTTGATGAATTGCATATTAATTGATTAAGGAGATGCTCAGTGTTTACACTGCAAGGGAAGGATGAGAAGGAAGCTAAGAACAGTCATGCTTAGTATTTGAGAAAATCCCAACTGTTTCCTCTCAGTGCCAACAGTGTTCAATTCTGGATCTAGCAACATTATCTAACCTTCTCATTCAGGTGAAATAAATACTCAATGGAGAAAAAAAAATGCCTTTAAAGTTTCTCAACAGTCTTAACACACAAGACCTCTGCTGAATGAATGTTGACAACTGTCCATGATGGGTCTATACCTATAATGCTGAAGTACTGCTTGGGGCTAACATCTCCTTTGGAGGAGGGGGCAACTAATTGTTCCCAGGGCCAAAGGTTCATCAGTCAAATTCCAACAGTTGGTTTACAGATTGATTCCAGTTGGCCTGAGAGATGCTATTGCAACAAAACTGCCCTCAGTGTAACCACATTTGGTCTGGACTAAAGGGACATTTTAGAGGAGCTCATGAGAAAGGGAGAGGTGAGAAGAGGCGAGAGGAAGGCAGTGAGGAAAAGGGTGGGCTCTGGGGGTGGGGGGCTTCTCCTGGGCTTAAGTCTTAGATCTGAATTCCAAAATTAGGTCACTAGCTACCAAGAGGCAGGGTCTTAGAGCCAGGGCTGTCTTGGGAATCTCTGAATGCCACGTGAGATATTGAAACTGCATTTCCTAAAGCAGTAAGATGTCAGCCTTCTTTCTCTAGTGAACTTATATCTTGGTCTCACTTTTACAAAGAATCTTGCCTTCACTTAGCCCACACCACTTTTTCTGTTTGCATGGAATAGGAAGATAATATTTGTATTGCATGTTGGGGGCAGTCCACATTAGTTTGGGTCTGTGTTTCTAGCCATATCTGTAATAGCACTGGGCCTCCCTGCTGTCTGCTCCCATCCAAGGGCTAAAGTTGGAGGGTCTCTCTTCTCTGCAGCCATAGCATCTCTTGATGTCAAGGACCTCACCTATGCCTGATGGAGGTAGGAGTCTTATTGGTGTCTTGGATCCTTGCAAAGGGGGCAGATATCTACATAGGCAGTTTTGGACTAGGCTCCTAGGAGCATGGACAGGTATCATGATCCATGTGCTATATGTAAGCAGCTTTGATGGAGAAGTATGTTAATTACCTACTGCTGTGTAACAACACTACCATGAACTCAGTGGCTTAAACAACACAGATTTATTATCTTACAGTTTCTATGGATCAGGACACTGAGAATGGACACTTAGCTGCAATTAATGTGTCGGGGTTGTTATTTCTTCTGAGGCTCAGGTGGTGAGGAATCTGTTTAAGTTTAGTCAGCTTGTTGGAAGAATTCAGTTCCTCGAAGTTGAAGACAGAGAGCTTTGGTTTCCTGCTAGCTGTTGGCTAGAGGCCACTATTGGCTTCTAGAAGCCACTCACAGTTTCTTTTGCATGTGAGTTTTCCCCAAATGGCTGCTTTCTACCTTTTTTTTTTTTTTAAAGATTTATTTATATATTTTTTGGCTATGAAGGGTCTTTGTTGCTGCATACAGGCTTTCTCTAGTTGTGGCAAGCTACTCTTCATTGCTGTGTGCAGGCTTCTCATTGCGGTGGTTTCTCTTGTTGCAGAGCACAGGCTCTAGGTGCGTGGGTTCAGTACTTGCTGCTCTCGGGCTCCAGATCACAGGCTCAGTATTTGTGGCACATGGGCTTAGTTGCTCCAAGCATGTGGGATCTTGCAGATCAGGGATGGTACCCATGTCCCTTGCATTGCAAAGCAAATTCTTAACCACTGGACCACCAGGGAGGGTCTGCTTTCTTCCTTAAAGTGAGCAAAGGGGAAAGACTTTAGCAAGATAGCCATTAAATTCTAAAGTAATGTAATCACAAAAGTTATCTCATGTACGCTGTGACCTTTGCCTCATTCCGTTGTGTGCGTGTCCTCAGTTACTCAGTCATGTCTGACTCTGTGGCCCCATGTATTGTAGCCCATCAGGCTCCTCTGTCCATGGAATCTTTCAGGCAAGAATATTGGAGCAGGTTGACATTTCCTACTCTAGATGATCTTCCTGACCCAGGGATCGAACCTGCGCCTCCTAAGTCTCCTGCACTGGCAGGTGGATCTGCAGCGCTTTGGAACCCCCCACCACTTATTCTGTTGCTCAGTAATGTCCTACTCTTTGACCCCATGGACTGTATCCTGTCAGGCTCCTCTGTCCATGGGGATTCTCCAGGCAAGAATACTGGAGTGGTTTGCCATGCCCTCCTCCAGGGGATCTTCTCAACCCAGGGATTGAACCCAGGTCTCCCACCTTGCAGATGGATTCTTTACTGTCTGAGCCAGCAAGGAAACCCAAGAATACTCAAGTGGGTAGCCTATTTCTTCTCCAGGTGAACTTCCTGACCCAGGAATCAACCAGCGCCTCCTGCATTGCAGGCAGATTCTTTACCAGCTGAGCTACCAGAGAAGCCCCCTTATTCTGTTGCTGCTGCTAAGTCACTTCAGTCGTGTCCGACTCTGTGCGACCCCATCCCTGGGATTCTCCAGGCAAGAATACTGGAGTGGGTTGCCATTTCCTTCTCCAATGCATAAAAGTGAAAAGTGAAAGTGAAGTCGCTCAGTCGTGTCTGACTCGTAGTGACCCCATGGACTGCAGCCTACCAGGCTCCTCCGTCCATGGGATTTTCCAGGCAAGAGTACTGGAGTGGGGTGCCATTGTCTTCTCCGCCTTATTCTGTTAGTTAGAAGCAAATCATAGGTCTTGCCTATACAAGGGGATCACACAAGCATGTGAACACCAGGGGGTAGAGAGCTTGGGGGACCCTGTAGAGTCTGTCTACCACTAAAGGTATATCCCGAAGGGGACGGGAAGAACAGTCAGCACAACTTCTCTGCCTAAGAAATACAGGGTGCTATGCAGCCACTGGCTGAGTTTCTGGCGCTAGTGGTGACAGTCCTGGACTGTATCTTAAGACTCTTCCCCATAGGGTTCACCAGGAGAGGTCCTCATTTCTCCCTGGTCCTAATTCGCCACCACATAACTATCATTTGGTTCCCTAGTGGGCAATAATTTGGACCTGTCTTTAGTCTATTCCTAGTCTATTTTTATGATGAACTCTATACTCTTGTGTTAATCAGGGTCCAATCAGGAGAAGGAAATCATACCACTAGTCTTTTTTTTTTTGCAAGTATTTATTAATTAACTTCAAGAAAATAAAATCTTCTGAAGACATTTTGTGCCTTTAAGTATCTACCCCCAAATTACAACCAGGAACACTTAAAGGATATTGTGGGTATACAAAAGATCCAGATAGCTAAACACATAACAACAGAACATTTGATAAGTAAAAAGTCAAAATTGTTGATTTTGTCGGGCCAGTTTATTTCTCTTCCTTGGTTCTTGTCTCATTGCAACAAAAATCTAGAGCAGTGGGTTGAAAGGTTTAAAATAACAGACAAGTTACAGCTCAGTTCTGCTCAAGCAGACAAATCTTTTATTAGACAGACACTTCTGAGACATGGGAGCAGGCTGACCCCAACAAGTCCAACTCCTCCCTCTTGGTTTCCCCCTTTTTATAAGTTTCTTTCTCTTGGTTATGCCCTGTGCCTAATAGGGTTTATACCCACTACCAGTCAATGAAAGGGAATGCAAATGGACACACACTCAAGGCCAATTCACAATTGCAAATTATATAGCAGCAGGCGGTGTTGTATATGTCTTCCCATAATTCAGTCTGTTATAATCAGAAGTAGAATATTCATGAGGGCTTCCCTGATACCTCAGTTGGTAAAGAATCTGCCTGCAATGCAGGAGACCTTGGTTCAATTCTTGGGTCGGAAAGACCTGCTGGAGAAGCGATAGGCTACCCACTCCAGTATTCTTGGGTTTCCCTTATGGCTCAGTTGGTAAAGAATCTGCCTGCAATGTGGGAGACCTCAGTTCAATCCCTGGGTTGGAAAGATTCCCTGGAGAAGGGAAACGCTACCCATTCCAGAGAATTCCATGGACTATACAGTCCATGGGGTCACAAAGAGGCTGGACACAACTGAGCGACCTTCTCTTAATGGGCTCCTAGATGCCTGAGGTTACTCGAGAAGCTCCTTGGTTATTTTGCATCCACTGTGTGCCTAGAGAGCATATACAGAAGTTGGAAAAGCCTCTGTGGTTATTTTGTAGTTTATCTGTGAGCTCTCCTGGATGTGTCTGGGATGGGTTTTAGAGATCATCCCTTTCAGCCAGGCCACCTCTCATTGTTCTACCTAACAATTTGTTTAGGGGCTGGGCAAAGACACTGCTCTTCTAGTCTAGTGTGAGTGATATTCACTCAGTCATGTTCGACTCTTTATGACCCCATGGACTGGAGCCCATCAGGCTCCTCTGTCCTTGGAATTCTCCATGCAAGAATACTGGAGTGGGCTTCCATTTCCTTCTAGTCTAACCAGATCATTAAAAAGAAAATTTGTTGTTGTTCTTGGAGTATAGTTGATTTACAATGTAGTGTTATTTTCTGTGTGTGTGTGTGTTTGTGTGTGTGCTCAATCGTGTTTGTCTCTTTGTGACCCCACGGACTGTAGCCGACCAGGCTCCTCTGTCCATGAAATTATCCAGCAAGAATACTGGAGTGGGTTGCCATTTTCTTCTCCAAGGGATCTTCCCGACCCAGGGATCAAATCCACGTCTCTTTTGTCTCCTGCATTGGCAGGCAGATTCTTTACCAACTGCGTTTCTGTTGTGCAGCAAAGTAAATCAGTTATTCATGTAAATATAGCCACTCTTTTGCAGATTCTTTTCCCATGTAGGTCGTTACAGAATATTTGGTAGAGTTCCTGTGCTGTATGCTGTTAAGTCACTTCAGTCGTGTCCAACTTTGTGTGACCCCATAGACGGCAGCCCACGAGGCTCCCCCGTCCCTGGGATTCTCCAGGCAAGAACACCGGAGTGGGTTGCCATTTCCT